GATAACACTCGAATTCACGGCCGATGAATCTGCGAAATCCTAGCTTCGAACGTGTCTTTTCTACAAAATTCACGCAAGAACGATCTTCTCGCGGGTTGAAAAAGGGTGAAATTGGGGTTCGCGCCGCTCGCGGTAAATTCAAATCAGCTCGAAATTAAATTGCAAATTTACCAGAACGCTGGTCGCGTATCGACAGGCGGAAACTTTAAACGACCGGGAAATATTAATACCCTGATATGCTCCGGCGAATAGTTAGCTTCCATGGCACGAGTTGCCGAAGATTCGTCTCGACCGGAAACTCGTACGGAACGTTTCCAAATTAAATAATCAAGCCACGTTAGAGTGCTTTCAGCGTGTTAAAACATGGAAAATTATGGAGATAGAAGTAAGTACGAGCATAATGATAAAACAACCAAAATTTTATTATACTCAGAATGAAACAAAGTAGCTAATTATTAGAAACAGATACTCGTATGGATAGACGGTCGAGAAACAGATGAAATATATTCTCGAAACATCGGTATGCAAATACAAAAGTTTGCAACTTGGAAGCACAAGGATCCATAGGAGTTTCCTTATAGTTCGCTGCGCAGGAACGAAAACTAAATCTAACTTACAATTAATATAATCTGATTTATAAGTCAAGCTTCGTTCCGAGTTTAATCATTGGAATTAGGAAGCGTACTATTTCAATCGAGACAAACTCCCACGCGAAATTAATTTCAAAAATCCCTCGCTTTTCCTTACATCCGATACGTTTTATAAAATCGAAATAAAATTTTCCCACGAATATTTTCGTCGTCGATTAATTGAAATTGTTATTTACCGTTGGAACACGTAACATTCGAGGCTGCAAGCGATTCGCGGTATTAGAACGCATTAATTAGGTGCCACTGATCCTTGATAGTGGCGAACGTTAATTAGAGCAAATTCCTGTAGCGGCAGATGCTCGCTAAATTGCACATTCGAAATTCCATAGAACCGAACTTCCATACGGAGATTGAAATCGGTATCTTTCCAGATGGTGTTTGCTCGAAATTGCCTCCACTATGGTGAACAATAGAAACGGTGATATTTGATCGGTTTAATTGTTGCGGTACTTGCTTCGTGAACCTTTGTTCACCAGTTGCAATGATATTTTAACTTGTAGAATTATATTTATTTAACTGTTAAGGTAGAAGAGATGGAAAAAGGTGTTTCCAATGAAAATTGAATTCTTTCGATAGCAAGGACGTCTATAGATTCAATGATCCGAATGGCTCGAAAAAAACCTCTATTTCCAATTGACAATCGTCGATTTCCTATTGATCGGATGGAACATATTACAGAGGCGAGGTCTGTTATCTAATCACGAGACTCGGTCAGAGGCATCTGTTGTTACAGCAACACCTGTGTTGCGTGCTATCGCTTGAAATTCCGTTGCCCTTACTTCCGGTTCCTCGTCTACGGCTACTTTACGATCGTGACTGCCGTTATCTACCCCTGGAACAATGCTCTCTTTATTGTCCATGAATGGCTGAAAAGGATTTTATTTCGATAGTTCGAACGGAACGAGCCGGTCGATCGAAAAAAGCAGAGATTTGAAATTTTTTGAAAATTCCCAAGTCACGTATGTATGGGACATGTGCATTCATCAACGTATCGAATCTTTATTATACCGAAACGTGACACGGGCACGAAAGCAATGATACCTAATTAGTAGTTCTGAAAGCCAGTGGAATGTGCTCATTAGCCGTATTACCGGCACGTTTCGTTCTTTGCCAAACCTTGTGTTCGTAGCTCTGTCACGGATCTTTGAGCGCCGAGTTCAAGGAATTGTTCCATTTCCAACGGTGGAAAGTTAATCTCTACAGAGCTTCAAACAGCATACTTGAGGATATAAATCTTCTTTGCGAGAAATTTGAACTCGTTCATTAGGTTTCCTTCAACCACCATACCTACCTCTTTATTGTAAGTCACATCGAGGCACTAATTATTATCTTAAGGTTAATTTTTAAATCTAATTATAAACTTTCGATGTTCTGTTTCGAAATTCTTCTTACCTTCATTTGTTTACGAAAGCCACGAAATTGTATTGCAAAGGATCATTCGTACTTTTCAAGTCTATTTACAAAGAAGGTGAAACGTGAAAGTTGCTAATGACTGCGGATCAACGTCTCTCGAAACCGCTCGAAAACGAAGGCCGCGCTTTAAGCTTTTTAATTAATGGACAACGAACGAATAAACCGGGTGTACCGGCACGCTTGTCCTTCGCGTTTACGTGTCCCAGTTCCATAATGCCTTGCAAGAGCACCCTCCAAGAATACTCTTGCCATTGGCTTCGAGGCGAATCAAAGCGGCGCCGATTCTCTGGTTCAACGATTAATTTGTCACCCATGGCTACGAACGAGCCTCCTTAGGAGGCTGAGGCTTCTAACGACTTGAATTTTCGCGTCAGATTCCTTACCGGAGGATCCTTATTTTAATCTGTAAATTTCAATTGTTAGGGTAGCATTAAAGTTTTCAAAAATAGTCTGACCATCTCGTCCAACATACTATCCTTTCTTCCAAAGGAATAGAAACGAAATTGTTCTATAAAGGAATGAATCGATCAGTTCAGTTGAAGATCAGAAAGGAGGTGTAGAAACATCTGTTACCGATAAAGTCTGATCAAAGACGGTCCGTGGCGAGCTTTCCACGAGCCATTTAACGAAGTTGCTCGAGTATAAGCTGGAACACTTGAGCAAATACACGGGAACCTATTTTGGTGACGGGATAGGCTCGAAAGCAAACGAGCGACACGCTTTGGTAGTACCCGGACGCTAATGCGTACGGCTTCGTCGTGACAATATTATAAACAGAGGAGAAGCATTCCTGCGCGTAACCGTTTTTCCGGGGCTTTGCTGCGAAGCCGTGCGCGATAAAAGGTGAGGAAATTGTCTCGGTGAATGCGGGGCTTCTTTCGTTACGCTCATCTTTTCTTCCTTTGTCGAACACCGTATGTCGTATTCGACGATAGGAAGATTTCTATTCTATTCTTAACGTTGATTTCTATAGAAAAATCAAAAGTGACGATATTTTGTATGATTAATAGAACTTTTTAAACACCAAAGAGATGGCTACAGTAGGGAAAAAATTGAGAGCTTTTATTTCAATAAAACACTTGTGGATGCGTACCATTACCATTTTTTATTTCCTCCGCCATAGTAAAGTTATGGCGTTTTTTTAAACGAAAGTATATATTCTTGATTCATATAACGATTCACTATTTGTTTTGATATTCTACACGAGACATGCGAAAGGGAAGGAATAAAATGGTCGCTTCTAACTACGGGCGCGAACAACGTCATAGAATCATGGAAATGAAATTCGTGTTTGCCTTCAATTCACGGAACGTAAATGAGGAATAATGGATGAACAGACGGCCAGCCCGCTGGTCTTTTTCGTTTCCACAGGCTGAATAAAAAAAATACAGTTAGCTATTTCGAAATGGCTGGCACGATTCAAACCGGGCGCAATTTGCGCCGCTGCCGATTGCTAACCGCACGCGAATTTCGAACGCGATGGAATTGACGAAAAATTGGAACGCGATCGTGCCTCGTCTTCTTTATTTCGTCCCCGCTGTGAATTCTCATATCGGGAGAATATTTTCACAATCGGGAATTCGTTTGAAAAATTCAGGAACATTAGGGACGACATTGCACTCGGTTGCAAGATAAAAGCTCGTAACGAAGTTACAGCAGACGAAGTTCTTCTTTTCTCAGCTTTGTTAAACCACCGTGAAACAACGTGTTCTGTTTCCAACGACATCTACTTCTCTGTAGATTTAGGAAGAAAAAAGTTCGAGCAGACGTCCTCTAGTCCAAACTGTCTACATTCCTTGCTTTAAAGAGGTTCGTGTAGTTTTATAAGATCGCGTGAGCTTTTGTACGCTTCCAATGGATATATGAGAGGTCGTATTTTGCAAGAAAGTAATCTAGGAAGTTTTCCAGGAAGTTTTCCTATAGTTGTATATCTTGCAAGAAATCAGGGAAAACGTGAAAATCTTATCAGTCGTAAAATAGAACACCAAAAATATGGCAGTGATAAAGGAAAATTGATTAATGACTCGATCGAATGAAACTTGTGTTAGTGGTATTTTATACGCAATCAGAATCGATCATTTCCTAAGAGGCAAAGAGGAAATCCGGACATTAAAGAATTAATGTGTACAACGAGGCAGAATTCTCCGATCGTTTCGAAGAAACAAGCAGAGAATGTTTTATCCGCATTGTGACCGTCCCGTGTTACGTCTACTTTTCCATCGAGCACGAAAATAACTTTCCTCGTCGAGAAAATGCAAATGCTGCTATGTGGAAGCTTAAAACTTTTGCATGTAGAAATTTCGTATCAGACAGCGACGCGACTTTCCAGTCTATCATTTTCATCCACTAACAAATAAATGTCGACAGATTTATGATCTTCTATCGGAATGATAGTTATTGTAATTTAATTATGAATAAACAGGGTGTCGCACGTACCAAAGGTTAGAAGTCTTGACATTTCCGAGCGAACAACGTTGGCGAACTCGTTCAATTATTTACCAGGATGTGCGAACGTGTCGAATCCAGATACAAAGCTAAGTAAAACGGGGTTGTATGTAAATAGCAACCTATTCAAACTTCGTGGGTGTTCTGGTCGAACGAGCGATGCTTATTGAGCAGCTTTTCAACAGCAACACATTCGGGAAACGCGTGTGAAAGGTAGAGGAATTGAAGTTGGAAAAATGTTTGCGGTATTCACGAACTGGGTTCGAGGTCGTTTATTCATAGAAATTGGTAATTTCGTTAATTATAAATAGAGTTAGTCTCTAGTTTTCAAAGAAGATTATCATTCATCTAAACAAGTCTTCTTCTTCCAAAGTTTCTACTCTAAATTATTTCAACCACCATTCGAACCTTAGAAGACCGAAAATTCATTTTCGTTAATCTTCTCTGCAAGGATGAAAGTAAATAAATCCACTGGTATCGTGTTTGTTCCAGGAAATGGCCACGTGACGCGACAGAAGAAGAGAACCCGGCCGCAAGATGAACACGAACGGCAATGTCGGCTCTCAGGAGGGTGGGAACGGTACCGATTACGGTTCCAGCGAGGAGACGGCAGCCCTGCTAAGCAGGGCGCCACCCCCTCCGGTCGTGGTTGCCGCGGCGTCTCAGGGCAAGCCGGTGCTCACGCGACAGGATCGAGCAACCTTTCTGGTTGCCTCGCCCCAGTTGTCCGTCTCGGGCCTCGGCGGCTCCGAGGAGAGCGGCACCACCGAGGATCCGGCGACCAGATCGGTACCGGACATCGAGCTACATTGCAGACTCGACGGTGAGGTCCAGCCTCAATTACAGCCGCTACAACCGCAACCTCAGCCGCAAACGCAAGTCCAACAACCGATTGTACCCGCTGGTTATCGGTCCAGGCAAACTTCCCACCAGCACAGGTGTCGTTGCGATCGCAGGGACTCTTTGGCACCATCCTCGGCGCTGCACCTGGCAAGGAGCGTCTCTAGGTAAGTGGCATTTTTTCGAAGATCTAAATTTTGAAAATAACAAATGACGGGGTTCTCTTTCGTTATGTAGCAATTTCTTGTAGGAGAAATCTTTTTTTTTCTAATGTGGGAAAGTTTTGTATAAGACCCCTGACATACCCCAGGGGAGGAGATGTCAGATTCTTACTGATTAAAATCTCACGGCAATCTACTTGGGCGTTGAAAAGAAGTTCCGGGATCTTGTACATATTACACCGGAACCTCCCCCGCCATGCATAACGTGCCCTGTCTCGGGGGACCTTAAATCTAGCCTCTCATTTCCTAGGGAAATCTAATCTAACCCTTCTCTATCGTTGTCTTCTTACAGAAGATCCTAATTCATTAGGCTACTTTGGTTTCTGTTTTGATTGCTATATTTGTAATATAGCCATGTTATTTCATGAAAATTCCATGCTAGTTTCTGCGTTCTAACTCACCCTGAATACGCTCCGGCCATAAATCTTTGACGAAGCATTAAGCTCGACGAGTGGTTGCATCGTTGTCAGAAGAATAATCCTGACGGATCGTACGTGTCTAGACACTATACTAAATGTCACTGATTTATCGCGTCTTAAGGCACTGGATTGTACCTTTCATTTTTACGTCTCATTGTTACTGTATTAGCTCTCCCGCCAGATTTACGATTCTATCGTTGAGAGTACCATTTCCAAGCAGCATTCTTAAGCCGTGAATTCTGAAAACATACAAACCAGACGTGCAAGAAGAATTCTGGAAATAAAGAATTCTGCACCTTCGTGCCGTGCAGGTCGGTCTTATGTTTAAAAATTTCTACCCAACTTTGTCGTGTCGAGGATGACTCCTCGGCGAAGGGTGAAAAGTAATGTAAGAGAATGAATCGGGAGATACAGTGGCGTAAATAGAAGTTCACTCGGTTGGCCGCGTGAGATGACCCTTGAAGGATATATGGAGGCAATGTAACCAAGAATAGGGCCTAGGATATTTTGTATATACCGACGAGTTGTAGCGTGTCGCATCGGTGACTTCGAACGAACCCAACTACGACGACCGGATAAATTATTGGCCGGGCGTAAATCACCAGAGATTAAATAACGTTAGCTCGTTGCTCTTCGAACAGTTTTACCACCGCGTGGAAACTTTATGATCTTTACGCTTGACAGTTATTACGCCTCGAGGATGTTTGTTCTCGTATGCAAGAAATGAAAAACTTTCTTATTGCTGGTAGTCTTTTGGTTTCTATTTTTAACGACAAACGCGATTAAATATTTCGTTAAAGCTCGTAGAAAAGAAAATTTTAATATTTTTCAATAGGAAACGGGAAGTTATATTCAGAAACGTCAGCTTAACTTGAATATTCTCAGACGTGAAACAGCATCTTCAGGAAGTTGTAAAAGCGATTATTTAGTACAACATACGTTTCTATTCAACCTTACGAAGCATTACCTCGTATATTCAGAAGCACTTGCTATCCAAATATCTCATTTACCCTTCATCCATCAACCCCTCTTCTCCGTTATTAATTACATCTTGCAAATTTCTCACGGTATAGGATGTGTCAGCTGTAATACAACCGCTTTCACCCGAAATATCTCGAAGCATAGTTTCTTCCGATGGCGTGGCATTTTGTTTCGCGATATACAAGGAAATAGGGGTTGCCACGGATTTGGAAATAGGAAATAACTGGCAGTATCTGCAATAGGGGTTGCTAGATCCTGCTGGATCTCGAAACGGGGTCGGAGCTTAACACTTTGCGTTGAAAACTGTGCACGAAGCCCTTTTTGGATGCATGAAATTCGGTCGAACTATTAAACACAAAGGAGATGAATCAAAATCTGATTGTTGCTGCACTATTCATTGAAAAATGGTTCATGCGTTTTTCGGTTGCAAAATTTAAATTTTTTATCAAAGTTCAAAAGCTTTTCAAGCATAGTTCCCAATTGATTTTCCTTGTAGTCTTTCAAAGTGGAAGTATGTCCTTAATACCCTTTTCGTGTCCTTTTAATATAATGTGCATAAGAATGTACATGAAAATTTTCAGGGATTTCGTAGACTGCAAAGTTTAATTACATAAAATCCGGTTTAAGTCAGTTAATAGTATTTTATGAAGAGAATTCTGAACGAGACTGAAAATTAGTCTACATAAATGTTACGTACAAAGTAAATTACCTATTTGTTAATATTTTTAGTAAGCTTTTTCATTTTAATAGTGGTATTATACAATGGTATTATACAAAATATAATAAGGTTAATCCCTCTCATCTCCTACCTTCAAATATAATCCAACCTCGACAGAACACAATCTCCATTTAGCAATAATAATTCCAGGGACTACCAATGAAAAAGGAGGCGAATGCAAGCAAATTTGATGGAACTAGACTAAATTGCTCTTATTAAATAACCTCTTCTGTTTCAAAGGCTGTATCGCAAGTAGGTACAATTAAAGTACAGTTCATTCTGTTGCGATCCTTCTTTGAGATTCCTCGAAATTCTGTCTGAACTTTGAAACTTCGCCAGTTACATAAATCGAAACGTTCCCTGCTGTCAAGCTTCTCAAATGTTTCCGCGTTTTCCATTGCTCCCAGTTACAGATCCACTGGGTAACTATGCAAGGTAACGAACAAGGGACGCGAATATTTCCAGGCAATCGCCGTTAGTTCGTTAACGAAACGACCAGCGAATGCCGCTTTAATTGGAGCCGAATTGTCCCTGAAACGTACGAGGCAAACCATCCGTGATATACTGAGATCTACAGCTTGATTTACGAATTGAACGTTTGACAATAGTAGAGTATTAACTCTACTGACACCGAAGTGTCAAATATTTCAAATTTGTCAAAAAGCACAGTTGACCCGTGCAAATCCCAGAACATTTTTCACCTCTACAAAAATTATTATTCCAATGTTGTAATTTTTCATAGCTTCACTTCGTTATACGTTCCACGTGATGAAGCGATTATAATTGAATCGTGTGCAAACAAACTGATCCGGATGAAAGATCGATCGCATCAGTTCATTCAGAATAAACGAACAAATGGTTTCACACCACCCACGTATGTTGTACTTCCTATAAAACCGAGCAAAAAATGACATAGAGAGTACACAGTACACCCGCACAGCTCGTAAGAGAAAATAGGTGACGCGTAGGAAGTAAACGTTACAGATGATTGCAGTTTCGATTACATTTAAATCGACGACCATGCAAAACACCTACGACAGCGCTTAAATCGTGCAAATACGCTCTGGTAGAAGAGTGAATTGCGATCGATGAACAAAGTACGAAGCAACGAACTCTTCCTCAGAAGTAGCAAGTCAGTGATTTCCGGTTAATCGTTCGAAGACCTCGGTTGAAAGCCCAACTAGCTGGCGTTAATTGCGTTATTACCGACGAAACCAACTGCCAACGACCTCAACCTCTCCCTCTCATCCATCTTTCTCTTTCTCTGCATTAGCAACGTTCTAAGTCAAGAGCACTCGGTTCGACAAAGACGTTGAACAAAGAGCATCGCCGTCACAATAGACGAGCACATTCCGCGAGTAAAATCGAATTAGTTAAGTACTTCCGTCGGGGCTCACACTAAGCCTTTCTCTACCGTTGAGCTACTCCACTTCTTTTCCCCTTTGTTCCCTTCATGGTCTCTCTTGTACGTCTGGTTTTACCTTTGGGCAACGTCTGCTTCGTAAATTGAGTGTTTAGACACGGATTGAAGCAGCCTGGGTAAACGAAGTGTCTCGGTTTTCTCATGATTCTAGAGGAAGTTGAGAGAAACGGAAGTTTTCTTGCGGAGTGTTTGAAAAGTTCTCTCAGATGCAAAAGAAGGTGACACGCGAATTTGATGATATTGCATTTCTAAGTACACTTCGAAGAGACCATTTTTTTCGTTAAGTTACCTGTTAATACGTAATACACCTGGCTATGATATATCGCAATGAAACTCGTCGATATAGAGTTACTGGCTATTGTGCAAGTTTACCTACATGCTCCGTGTATTGTTGGCGATAGTTCTATTGACATTCGACGTGTTTACCGGTTCTATAAGATAATTAACTACCAATGCCGGAATCGATAATGCCGTCTTCTGTTTGCTAGACGAAATTTCATTAGCGACCAAACGCGATCGATGTGTCCGCGATAATGTCGTCGCGTCATCGAGCACTAATATTCGTATTAAATTTACTTTGATACACCTTTCCAGAGTCTCGTTATTGCATACTATCAAGAAGGTCAAAGGCAATTAATTTTATTATTTTAAATTATAATTCGAACGAGAATACTTTATCCTAATATATTACTTAGTTTATTAGACGTTAACTGGAATTCAAAAATTAATTAATCACTGCAACAAATAATTGGCTGAAATTTCAAGGATCTTGAATTACTGGAAATGTTATTTTCTCCGAAACACGGCAAAAAGGAAATGTTTCGGCGACACGCGGAATTCCTGTTGATCGACAATTGTCGATAACAGCTGTTTGTCGATTTATGTTACAGAGAAAGCGTGAAAAGCGGCCACCACTGTTGCCCTTGTCAGGCACCCCCGCCGCCGGTTCTCGTTACGACGTCGCCAAGCGCTCGTATAATACGGCAAAGCTCGCAACCGGAAGCGTCCGCGTGCTGTTGTTCCGGATGTTGTTGCCCTCTACACGCAGGCACCACGCCGAGTGCTGCCTCCCTGCGGCAGCTACGCGAGCCAGGAGATGGAATTGCTGGCATCGCCGCGGATTCATTGCGGATCAATGGCGGCATTCGACAATTCCGACAGGTAAGCCCCGTTACCGATCAAACAATGGATTTGTCATGCACCCTTCGCCCATTCCACACACGCTCCACTGCGTTCAAACAAGCAACCCTTCGCCTTGGATCTGTGTTCAATGTCCGTTTCCACTTTGTACAAGCTTATCGCGATGTGCATACTACCAGAACCTGGACGCTAACAGTTTCCTTTAATTTACTACAAAATTATTCATTCGTTTACTTTGAAAATTAAAATTCAAGAAAATTAAATATCGAATGTTCATCTCAGCGTCCAGGTTTTTCCTCGCGCGAGCGAGTTCACGAAATCGGTAAGGAAGAAAGCGAAAAACGTACTGTTGTTAGGCTCAGCTGTGTCGTTGCCTATCTTGCTTGTATCGTTGATGATCTATACGATCGGTGTTCCGCGATCCAGAACACGTTTCGTACCAGCTGCACCAACTCGGGTTGCATTCCGTGTTTTCCTCCGTGTTTGAACAGCCCGTCGAAACACCGGCATCCTGGTGTTCTTGGTTGTCTGCTTCGCACGCGTGCTCGCTCGAACAACCGTCGGTGTTTCTTCCCTTTCCTTTCTTTACTCTTTCGTTTCCGTTACCTTCCTCCCTGAGTACAGACTTTTCGTGCGATCGAACGACCGTTCGTCGGGTTAGGATATAGAATTTGGAAGTTCAGAACTAAGACGTAGGTCCATTTCTAAAATTTCTAAAATTGGGTAAAATATAGATTTCATGCTTCTAGAATATTATATTTTGTACCAAGGGTAGATCTAGAAGCCTTCCTTAGATCACTATTATAAATATTAATGCCATTGAAGATATTTACGCGTATAACCAGTGGTCCTCTATTTAATTATTACTAGAAAGAATCTTCCTCTCTCGAATGTAGGAGTTTGAAAAATTTCGTTTCACGAACAAACTTATTTATCGTCGAAGTAAAACCGGTGCTGCCACCTAACAAGGGGTTGAAGTATCAGTTGGAAGCTACCCTTGAAGAATAGAAGCTCGATACCGACAGACGCGTATAAAGAGGGTTAGAAGCAACCCCTTATGATAAGAAGCTTATCAGACTCGACGACAATGCTTCTAGTAACGTTCCTCGTTGTAGATGGCACCGTGTGTAGAGAATGATTCGCTTCTGAAAGATAATCGTGAGAGGAATGTGCACCTAGAAATCGCAAAATCCACACGAGTTCCGTAGAGATTTGCACGAGTGATCGATCACAGGGAAACACCAGAACTTTGTACAAGACTTAATCATGGTTTAATTAATGAGATTAGTCGTTGTACGTAGCTACTCGAGACAATTAATTGGGATAGATAGAAAGCTATTTAAAATCAAGCGCTTTGGCGCCATTCAAAATTCTGCTTAATTAAAAAATATTTCTGACAAATGATTTTCAAACTATCTCTTAATTTTTTGTCTCTCGACTTACTAGAATTTGTGAATATATTTTTGCTAAAATATGGAATAGGAAAGAGAAAAATTAGATCAGTTTGGAATAGTGAGAAAAGTCTAAAGTGACGAGAAAATTTTTGTCCGTGTACGTCCGGCTGTTCCGGCTGTCCCGAAATAAAAAAGTGGTAATTTGCTTATTCCCGAGTGGGGATCCTTGACGAGCACGAAACGGATCTCCCGTCGTCATTAAACGAGATCCGGGACAAAAAAGGAGAAAAAAATAGAGGCGCGAGCAAAAGAAGCGAAGAGGAGGCAGGCAGGAAGCAGCGAGCAAGTGAGATCTCGACATTGTTAGTTTAATTATCTCTCCTTGGCGCGACGAAACCTCCTCGTATCTCGTATAGATGCCCGAAGGGATGGAAGAGGGGCTCTGTGCTTTGTACGCGATTTTGGCCGGAAGCCAACGGATTATAATCATGCTCCGACATGTCGTGCATGGAATCAAGGTTCGCGACGTGCAGCCGTGACACGAGGGGTAATTGGGAACTTTTTTCCTTTCTGCAACGAATGGCTCTCTTCTTCTACTTCTTTTTTTATCCCTGTTTCTAGTTGATGGTCGAAAGAGGCTTTCTAGAGTGGCTTGAATCAACTAGAGCCCGGGTGGTGTCTGTTAATTTTGCTTTATCTCGAGATGAATTGGCTAGGACGTTCAATCTTCCCGAGGCTGATGAGACTGTCATGTTTTTAGTAATTATATAGAGCTCATTTGTAGTTTGTCTTGTTAGAGCAGTCAAGAATTTTTCATTTTCAATTTTGAATGGATGGTTATTGATTTTTTTCACGCATTCCAACGTCTGGCTTGAATTATGGCTGACCTATTCTACTTAAAATTGTTCTTGGAAAGCTGTTTCCTAAATTTCAGTATTCTTATATTGTGCTGCTGATATAATCTACTAAATGTTAGAGTTAGTCTTTGAAATTGATCAATCTCTAATTATTAAATTGTTAAATAATTCATTAATTAATTGTTAATAATTATGTGGAGCTAATTTTAGGGTTTATCTCGTTCAAAATGTCAGAGGTAATTAATTATGACTTTCATAAGGAAGGTTATCGATCACTTTATTGTATTCGAACCTCTCGTCTGACTTATGAGTGACCTATTCTACTTAAAATCGTTTTGACTGATTAATGGATATATTACCTTTTCTATTTCAATAATTTCAATTGTTCTCGATAGTGCACTACTAATGCAATCTACCAACCATAAAAATCAATTTCTAAAGTTAATAAAAATGATTATTACATCGTTATCATAATAATCATTGCATTTCATAAACAAAATTTTGGATGAAATCAAACATATCAAACAGGAATTACAAATTTTGTATTGTTTTAAAAAACTAATATCGGATAGACAGCTTTACACTATGGACCGTGAGTTCAGGGAAAACTTCCTTCTTTTTTTTAAATAAAGCTTTGAAAGAAAAACTTGAACCGCAATAACTCAGTTAAAAAAGTTTCGACCGCGTATCAAACTCATTTCGACGCTTTCTTAAAGCTTGCCTTCAAATAACAAAGCTGAATTGTACGTCGACATGGAATCGCGAAGGTTTCGGTGCATGAAAGTAAAAGAATCTCCGGTCGGTTTTCGTGTGACGCGACCATAACGAGCATCCGCCTTGTAAATCTGGAACATTACACGTGTTTCCTGTCCGTGTAAGCGCATCCTGGGAAATGAAGCGAATGGGATCCGGGATTTTAAAAGCAAGGACAGCGGTTTTTACGCTTTTATCGCGTGCAGACGATCTCAAGCACGCCCCACATCGGCCAACTTCTTTTTCGTCTTCGCCGTGAAATCTATCGGGATATTTTTAAAGGCGACTCCTAGGCGTATCCTAGGCGCGATAAGATCCCGATTGGATTTTTATTCGAGTCGCCTTCGTTCGTGATGAAAAACGCAAACGACGTGTCTCGATAATGTCGGTACCTATGCTTCAAAAGAACTATGAAACTATGAAATTGTTTTAAGAATAGAGTAAAGATCTCATGTAAATTGTATAAAAAATACTTTCAACACCTAACAAATTTACAAAATCTGAGAAGTATATTTTTTTATAATTACTTTTAATCGAACTTCGCCAGATCAAAAAGTTTTATATATTTCTTTTTTCTTTTTTGATAAACGATGTTGTAAAGTTTGAGAACGTGAAGAAACTTTACGTCGTATAGAGGTCGGACAAAAACGTTTCAAGGTAGTCCCCAACTCTTTTTCTAATAAAGTTACAACAAGCAATTCCAATTTACTACTTTCAAGAACTGAACACTACCCTTCACTAATGACGACCGCGAGTTAAACACCTAAAAGTACATTTTACCGATTATTCCCATATTCACAAAATTCTCCAGAAACACACACAATATACATACACATACTCGTTTGCGCCCTTTTTATAAGAAATATCAATGTACCTTCTTGATGTTCCTTGTACGATAATTTTGAGATGCCAGCAACCCTTTCTTTATGCTGTCTTTTTAAATGTTATTAAATTTTCTCGATGTCAATCGTGTTTAATTTAAGACTGATACTTAAGTATATTGATGTTACAAAAATGGACTATGTTTGAAATCGCATCGACTGAAGATAAATTGAAAATGAAATATTATGTTGATCCTTAATGAGATGAAATCGTCGTTTTAAAAGATATCGTCGTTCCAGCGTTAAACCTGATTACCACTCAGTGTATCAACAATTAATCTACTTAATTCCCTGCGAATTACCATTTTATCGAATAAAATGAGCGAGGAATGTACAGGGTTTTGTATCAACAGCATAATTCGTTTGTGTAAACGTTCGTTTACTGCCAAGGTAATATAACGGGCGAGAATTGGCAATTTGCTGACGACGAGGAAGTCGATATCAATTTCCCTTTCCCCGGCTGAATGTCTCTCATTAAAAGGGATCGGAGAAAAATAAATGGCAGTTCCATCCAGTTGGTTCTTTTATCCTCGGGCGTCCCGATAGGCATTCATCGACGGACAAAGAGAAACAAAAAACGAAAGGAGTCGTTTAATCGTCAATGAAAAACAATCAAAAGAAAGGAACGATTACTTTCACTTGAAATGTTGACCCGAAGCTTTTCGAAATTTCTTTTCATCCGTTGTTCAGGTTAAAATTACTTTGTCTAATGATTCGAGACATCGTTCATCGATGACCCAACGCGTTAACAAACTTAAAGGTTCGTGTAACGATCCTTGCTTCGAGAAATAATTCAGCGTCGAAGGTTACCGACGAAGACTACTTTCGATCGAGCCTTGCCGGTGAAATTGTATTCCCCTGTAGCTGTTAATAATTAATTCTCAAGCCATTTTTATACCCCTCGAACAGCGCGGCTCGTTGCATAGGATTTTTCGAGAGCACACCAGCTCGTGTAAAAGGGATTTTTATGTTCTCGTTGATGGAATTTGTCGGGTACTTAGTTTATAAAAGAAAAAAATGTAAACGAAGAGGCTGTGGCTTAGAAAGAAAAGATTTTTATGTTGTCGTTGTAAAAAGAAAATTGAATCACAAGTTCAAAAGTTAGACTGATTGAAAAGAGTCGAACGAGATACACAGACATTCGTCCGATTCTTTTTAACATTTCAACTTTTCGCATAGTCAGCTGGCGAACGTTCTCGTACATGTTTCATCGCAAAAATCATCGGCAAACGTCGTCCTGTTTGCGAAACTTCCGCGTGTATTGCACTTCCAGGAACGGGCGAGCATCAGTTTCAAATATTTAGGATTCGAGCTGGGTCAGGAAAACTGTGTACGAAAACTTTTCACCATTTTCCAAACACGCTGCTCCTTCTCGTATTCCTACGATTCTTCCTAGTGTGCAAAATACTTTGATTCCCAGATTTACAATCTTCGCGAGTCAAATGCTTAGAATTTGAGAAAAATTAATGATGTCTAGAGCTTTTCTAAATTTTCTTTTCACAATTCCTCTTCTTCGCTAAAAGCTGAAATATCTTGAAGACAGAGGGATAGAAAAGAACACCCTTGGAATTCGGGTTTGCAAAAACTTTTATTTTCGATAGCTATTCGTTAGAAAGGTGATATCAGTGTCTGGTAAGTCGTTAACCTCGATTGCCCTCGATTATACAGGATCTCAGGTGAAAAAAAGAGAGAGCTGAAGTAATATCGTTTCGAACAGTCAGCTGTCAGAGGAAAAAGTCGAGTCGTAGCCGCAAGAGAAACCTTTCCGTCCCCTTTATCACTTGAGTGGTCTATCGGTGCGAACCCTCTTTTCGTTTTCTCTCGATTCGTCATGTTGACGTATCTGAAACAACGATGCTTATCTCTTTGGTTGACTTCCTGGGGCGGGGACGACCTTCCAGTTGACTTTAGGAGATTAAACTCGACGAAGTGTTCCTATGTTTGTCAAACTTGATGAATCCTTCCTGGTTAAGGTACTTTCCCTTCTGTTTTCTCTTCGGTAATTGATTAGATGAGATTTTTCTTTATGAGTGAGAATAAAATTCGAACAGCTTTCATGACGCTCTTAACGGTTAATTAAAAAAAAAAAGAAGAAAATCTACAATTCTGGTGCAGAATATTTTGATTTATAACCCTAATTGCGAGGAATATTACTGAAGATGATTTTTAATAGAAAAAGTAATAAAATCTCTGAACGATAGGTTCTCCAAATATCTAACAAAATATAGAATTTAATCCATCGTATGTAACAAATCGTATTTACAGAAAACGCCACAGAAGAATTATGGTTAAAATTCCACTCGACACGGATACGATAGTTAATATTGCTCTCTCTCGAAACAAATTCCCCATGGAAACTCTAATAATCCATCGATCGAACGCTCTCGAAACGATACAAACACTTCTAGCAAATAGCGAAAGCTTCTCGACAACGATGATTAAGCCATAGCTAGTAGTAGCCAATCGGCTTAGCATCTATCGAGTTGGTGGTCCGACAGACCAGCTCGACCAGATTAGAGTTAGGTATCCACGATCAACCAGCGAATGTTCAACAACGATACAACTTTCCACACGACACAGTCATCCTTTTAACAGCACCGTTAGTCCATAAACTTTCTTCTATCCCAAAGTAGAAAATTTCTTTCATTCTCTTCCCATGTATCCGTCTGTACCAGCAAGTGTCCACTAGAAATGGGATGAATTTCAATATGGTAGGCTTCCTTAAGAGAAATAGCAATGGAAATGGAGACACTCTGTTCGTCTTAATACTCGATGGTTACTCACCTAATTGACTAATTTCTGAATGAATTAACTCGTTTTGAAAGTAACACTAATATTCTTGTCGTTTGAAGTAGGTGTAGTAACTTAGAAATATTAAGGCAAATGAGGACCTCCTTTTCTTGTATTGTTTTTTATTCAAGGGAAGATTAAAATCGAACTCCAATTCCAGGAAATTTCAATGCGAAGGTATCTCATTACCTTAAATTCGAAAGTATTGAGGATCCCATCTCTAATAACCGCAGCAACCTTAGATAGCAAGGTAGAGCATTAAGTAGAACGCGATAGGAATAACATCATCAATCTGCCGCGCCATCTGCTCGCATCATCCATTAGCAGAGTTCTTTTGCATCGTCGAGCTGCTGGCAGACCGGGTCAACCCCACCGGAGTCCACCTTGCACCCCCCCGGAAAAACAACCGCGAACCACCCTCGACTAGCTTCTCATTCGATTGTTCGCCAACACTCTCCCTCCAACCCCCCTGGCTCCGCCCCAGAATTCAGCCCGAGTGATCTTTAGTTCTAGCCGAAACCGTGTCCCTTTTAGTCTAGTTTGGTAGTTTTGCGCCGAACGTAGTGCTCGGCTTAGATGATTTAGAAAGAATCATCGAGTGCCATCGCTTACGTGGACACCACCCTTATCCCGGGTTCGAAGAGTAAAGAAAGACTGGCCGAGAGAATGATTCCTTCAGGAACGAGATAATCGAGTTTAGATTTTCTCGTTTTTCGGATTCGTTTCTTGGCTGTCTATGTATCTTGCTGGCTCTGGCTTTCACGACCCTGCAAGGCGATTCGTTGAAAAGCGAATGATTTTTTTTTTCTTTTTAATTACTTGTAACATTGCTTGTTTTCGTGGCAAATTTTGAACAGAAATGTTGTACCGTTTTAAGGGGTGATTGCTTTATTTTTTGTTCAATTTTGGTTTCTTTATTTTTTATTTAAGTATCTTTTTCTTTTATAAATTTTCATATATAGAGGATACTTTATATGAAGAATGTTTCCACTTTTGTTGGAAATATCTTTCAAGTAGTTCACAAGTTGCTTGAAGTCATGTCTGTTGACGAATCGCCTTGTACATCAATGATTCACAAGGACAACTCGGTACTCTGGTAGATGATAGATTGATCATCATGAAACTACAAGGTCCAGAAGAAGGTGTTTGTAATTCTGATCGATGATTATGGAGAATCCTGTAGCCAGTGTGTTACTATTTCGAGAAATGATTGATCCGGAATCAACGAACCAAAGCAATCAGTGAATGAATTCAAATTAAATTATATCTCCATAACTACACAGACTTACAATCACTTTCGCACGAACGCTTTCTCTCCTCTTCCAAAGTATCGATCACCTTCACGAATCCTTCGTTACAAACACCTTGTCTCGTCTCATTCGAACCATCAATGGGTTTCATCGAGATCACCGGAAAAACGTGCTACCGATACTATTTTATCGGTACTGAGACCAAAATTTTCCGCGTGAATACAGTAGACTCTCGTTATATCGCCGCGGGTAAGGCTGTATGGTACGATGGTGAAAAGGCAATATAACAAGAGTCTAACGAACGGGCAATGGTTATGATACTTGGGGATATTCTGAACGTTAGTATCGGTAAAACAGTGTCGAAGGTTTTTCCCTGGTGATTTCAACGTAACCCTCCACCATAGATAGTGTTTTCACTCGTGAACCACTGCACTCGTAACCACCCTCGCGCCTCCTGTATGCTAAGAATACTGTGTGGAATAACAACGTGCTAAAACCACGCCCAGTTCCCGTGGTGGTGCAAATCGTCGTCGACGACAATGCCACCGACGACACCTCCGCCGCCCACGGCCACGATACTCGGCGCCGTTTCCGGTTCTGGGTCTGGTTCCGGTATGCAGGGCGCCCAAGGCGTCGTTCTCTGTCCACGTACGCTGTCGCAGGTCCGACGATCACGGTTACGAAGAGCCCTCACCGAGGCGACTGCCGAGACCGTCAACTACGTCAAGACGGTGGGCACGATACTTACGATATGCCTGATCTATTTAAACCACCCTTACACGATTATTATTATTATTATTATTATTATTATTATTATTATTATATTCTGCATCGTACACAAGCACGGACATTTACCGCATACCCTGTTGAGAGCTCAGTTCTTTTGGAACCTTCCTTTTTTATTTCTTTCAGATTTATACAGGATGATTCATATGAGATGCATATTGAATTTTAGGTAAAGGGTGCAAAAGCGAGTCTCAGTCGTTCAAAACATTATAATAGAATTCATTTTTAATATTTTTTGTAATAATGGTGATGTGTCAAGTATAGCCTTCAAAATATTAGCCAGTATCTATAATACTAATCGAGGGATCCAATATGCTATAACCGGTCAAGTTCATTTTTTAAGCAAACTGAATCAAACTAGTTAATCAAGTTAAATTTTAATTGAACGACCTGTAGTCTAGCCGATTGAAGACTTAATTAATTAAGAATATCGGACAACTTGAAATTGGGTTTGCTCCAAGTACGAGTTAACTGAAACTCTAATTCTTCAGAATTATTCAGTTTAAAACTCGATTCTTAGAGAAGAGCAGATCGGAAATTCGATTACTTTAGTATTTCATTGTTTAATCCCTGAATCGTTTCTTTCAGTCAATCAATTCAAATTGAAATTACTGTTCCAAAAGAATTAAGCCTCGGTGAGATGGAAACAACGACACGTTCAATTTCCATACGATCTCTATTCGTGCAGAATCAAAAGCGACGGGGAATAAAACGTTACGATCTTTCGTTTCGATGAGAAAAGGTGACTGGTCGATCGGAGGATCGATTCCGTGTTTATTACCCTCTTCTCGTTTGAAATCGTTCTCGAATTGTGTCGTCGTTTCGAACTTTACCCTCGACAGTCGATGTACTCGCGATATAAATGCAGCACGCATTTTATCGTGCGTACTTGCAGTTATGTTCGAACCATGTAGTTAGAGTCACTGACCTATAGAACTAGCCTCACACCATCACGCTAGAAAGTATTGTCACTAATTCGTGAACATAATTCTATCACCAATCACATAATTTGCATTCTGGATTAACAAAAAAAAAATGTTCAAAGTTCGCGATGTTCATTATTAGAATTTTCAGGATCGTGCAGATTAGACTAATATTGAATTCGCATCGTATGCAAGGTGCAAATGCACCCCTTTTATTAATGGAATTATATAATTTTTTTTTCTTTTGCATAAATTGTTTGCTTGGATTATCCTACGTATAAAAGTGGTACGGTTATATTAAAAAAAAAACGATATAGTTTATGGGATATTTTAACTTTTTTAATAACACCTACCTTTAAGCACCCTCTTATCTCTACGGCTTTATTCACGCTTTCGTGCAGTTTTTAAATTACAAAAGGTATTCGAAAGATACTTTTTATATATTTTTCTTTTAAAGTGTTAATATTGTTTATTACAGCGGGCACAAAAGCAAGCAATCGACTTATGCAAAATTAAATTATGTATTTTGATTTTTTTTTTTAAGTGCAATTGCACTTTGCTGTTTTTCAGAATGTAGCTTCGTCCAATTGCATGAAACACCCTATAATTTTGTTAAATACTTGTGTTGAAAAAATATTCTTAAATTATTTATGCAAAACAGAAGACTCGCGGAAAAGTTTGAACAGCAAGAATTGCAAAGTAGAGTACAAGAAATATTCAAAGTACTCGGAAGAAATAATATATTCCTCATTCGTAGGAAAAGTCTATTGTTCCAAGCCGTCTCGTCTCATCTTCCGCTCGAGATCTATCGTGAAACGCTTGCTCGCGCCAGTTCCACGTGGATCCGTAATTAGTTTTACAGACAGAACAGCGTGTCTTCTACGCGTAGGAAAATCGCGAAACTCGTTCTTCGAGCGCAACGGCAGGAACTGAGAAATTTAATGCCACGCTTGCTCGAACACGCTTCCTTTGTGCCACCTTTTCTGCTCGCGCTTTGTGCGACCGACTTCGCCATCCGCGACCGTCGGCTTTACGATCGAGAATTTTTATTCCACCGACGCGAAAAGGACATCGTAAAGTTCCTGGACATAACGAGAGAGATTACCTGGATAAAGCTTTTCCAGGACGAAGGGGGTCCGGCTCTTTTACTCCCAGCATTTTGTTCCCCGGATGGCCATTTAAAAGTCGACGTGTCAACGAAAACAGCTGGGAGTAATGGCTCGCGTATTCAAAGTCAATTTGTCAACGCGTCGGTCACAAAATATCAGTGCTTATTCTTTCGAATTTTCTCGGCAATTCCAGATTGAATGGAAGAAAATTTTGCAAACATGATAATTGCAAAATGATGATTTACTACTACGCCAAGCACACGGTATTATATACTCCGAAATTATGGGAGGTAAGATTTATCCGGAAAGTCTGAAACAATTGGTCCATTTATCAAGAAAAGTTCTCCACGAAAATGTAACAAGCATTACTGTTCGAAAACTGTGTTTCCTCGTAAAGCAACTGTAAATTCGGTCAAACAAAAGTTTTTCAGCCCTCCATCGACGGTAAATGAGGAGGGCAAATCAGCTGCGCGACATTTGAACAAATATTTTAAGAAAAACAGGACAAACTCGGCGCTGGTTTGTTCCCCAATTGAATGCCGTTAGAGACATCGCAGTCAAGCAATTTCTCTCTCTCTCTTTTTCCAAATTACTCCAATACCAAATATTTTGTACATTTCCAAAATTTTCAGAGGTCAACGTTAAGGTAATTCCCGTTCCTCTCGCTGATCTTTACGATTTCACGATCCAAATATGGATCATAAAACAACGAACCATGGAACGTGATAAGAGAATTACGATTGTCCATCAACGAAGTGTCGTTCTAGAAACACACTTTTATCGGCCAATTAACACCTGGCCCAGTCGGCCAGACATTTCATGGACGTGTTATCGCGGGTAAATTTAACAGGATCATTAATTTTCATCGAAGATTGAAGTTATGAAATGGAATATTTCGTGGATCTTCAGGTGAACGAAGACGACACGTATCTGAACAGGTGTAGGCTTTCAGGACACGTCTCGTGCTCGTTTCATTGCTGAAGCACGTTTCAGGATCATTTTTCTAGGGTAACCGGAGGAGCATCATTTCCTGTCGTGTCCTTGTTGCTATGCTCGCAATCACTGGCACGTATTGTTTAAATAAATTAAACATTTCATGGACTGATCGCGTATTCAAATTTCTACAGAGTATCTTGTAACTAACGGTAGAAATGAAGCAAGAATTGCGGTCGACTTCCTTGCGAATATTACGAGCAGCAATCTCATAACTTTCCATTCAAATCAGTGCTGATGCGTGCTGCTTGCAAAATGCACCACAAATATGCAGCCCCTAGCTGCGCATCACGCCCGGTATCTCGATAATTCTATCAAGGGAAGTTATTGCTCTATAAAATCTGTGTTCCCAGTCTATTACTGAAATTACCGCCCGTCTAGCGTGCAATAAACGCGCATGCTGCGTTAGAGAAGCCGGTAATATACCTCATTATAATTTCGTGTAAACTGAACTTCTCCTTTGTATATCTTCTCTCCTTTTTTCTCTTCTTCACTCCGACCAACTGCAAGTTTGAAAATTAGTAATTTCCTACGAGAATATGTTTAAACAATAATTTGTAAAGGACGTTTGATCTCTCTCGTTGGCACCTAATTTTACGCTGGACAAACTTCGAGGTCCGCGCTGCTTAAGGGAATTTGTGGAAATGCTTAAACCGGGGGAAAAAAGGGAAGAATAAGAAGAAGAAGGGTGTGGGATGATGGATAAAATCCAGTGTTCCGTGTTCGAGCCGAGAAATAAAAAACTTTTCAGAGGCATCCGTCGGTGGATCGAAGCAAAAAACGAGGGGGGATGAGGGTGCGGTTGCTTAATAGGGGTGGCGTTTGAAAGCAACGATAGAAGATCGCGAACAGCCGCACTCAGAGGGTTAATGTTGCAATTGGCGGTCTTGCGAGGGTGGAAAAAATAGAGTTGAATAGAATCAAAGATATAGGATACTTCTTTCCTAGAATTTCTCTTCCGCTATTATTTCTCCAAGGTATCATGGTGTGGCATTTCATTTTTGACTCAATACGGTTTCAATCCCCTTTGGAGTAAAAGCACAAAATAAGTCACTTTAAGGAAAGTCCCCTTGAAAATTGTAAAAGATACAGAAGATATTTTTCTACGTATTTATAAAACAAAATTATATTTTTCCTTTAGAAAATTGTCAAAGGAATAGTATGATAGGTCGGTCGAGAAGAGAGAATCAGAGACAAGTGTCTGAAAAGGGAGGCTCCATTTCCGTTTCAAGTTGCGCGACGAAATTCTAGCTGATCGAGCGACGACCCGTCTCTTCAGTGTTCCTTTATTTGCTAGGAGGATTCACGGTTCTCGCTTTATCCCTCATCTTTCTTCCTCTCCGCTCGCAGTCGTCCGTTTCTGCTCGCTTAATCTCTTGGCCGCGGACCATCTTTATTTTTTCGTCGCGTCGTTGCAGTTACTCCACGATTATTACCTCAGGGAACGATGCCACGACGACAGAGGCATCGTGGAAACGATTTCTCCCGGCATCATCCGCCGGAACTCGAACACTTTATCAGGGACTAACTTTGTTCGTTCTTTTTTGTCTGCTCGCTTCAGGGTGGTAAATTAATTGATTCTGTTCGATCATTTCGATTGCTGATTCAATTTCTCGTCTTTCTGGTCAAATTAATTCGTAAAGTTCCCTGTCAAAAAGTGATACCGAACAGAATTAATTGCAATGAAAACATCCCCCTTTTCCTCGTTGCAGGGTTGATTAGAAATCCAAATTGTTTTAGAAAATTGTCAGGCAACTCGCGTGGATAATGGAGACACGGCTCGTTATTATCGTTCGTCTGTTCGCATTATTGTTGCACCGATGATAGAAGGCTGGCCTGGGTCTGACACGTCCTCTGATATATTATCGGCTGACCGGAAAACACAACACTATTGTGCGCGTAGAAACGCTTGCGTCGTTC